AGCTATTTTTGGACATTTTACCACAAGAATGGAAGTCAATGTAAGATCAGTACTACTACTACTACTACTTCAAATTCATATTTTAAACTTGGGTCCAAGTTTGAAGTCTACTAAAATAAAAAAGGCAAAATTTGTCATCATTTAAGAACAATTACCAGTGCACTGATTGGATAACAGGCACACTGTAGTCATGTCAGATCTGTAACCTCACTGATTCGATGGTATCAGATTGTTTGGGGTGGTTTATCTCTGATCCATCCCACATCATTGCTGAATCTGGGTTAGCATCTAGGCTAACATCTCTTTTCACAAAATTCTCTTTTTTGTCAACTTTAATTACTAGAAATCGATTGTTGTTATTTGGAAATTATCGCTAGCCGTCGTAGCAACGGCACACATGTGACATGAGAGATAGGTAATGCCTTCGCAGGGATGAAAAATAAACAGAGTTGTGAAAGAATCATCATGGGAAATCCCCCAGCTCAGTTTTGGCATTGCTTTAATTTCCATTTAATCCCGGGAGCAGGAGTTTAACGAACCAATTAATTGCAAAATCAGATTAAATCCCCAAAAGCCTTGAAATTATCTCTGCATGAAGCGTTGGCCTCTTGCTGGAGGCACTCGTATTATTGGCCTGTCTTCATTCCCTTCTGTCTTCCAATATGATTTTTTTTTCTAATCTGTGTCCAAAGTCATAATGTGTTCCTCAACATAACTCAATTAAATATAACGTCACGTCGGCACGTCTGTGGCCACAAGCAGCTGTGTTGAGTTCAAAAGCGCAGTTTTAAAAATATCCTTATCATGAGGACACGAGCAGATAAATGTAACCGTCTAATCCTCAGTACTCAGACAGCACTCTGACCTCAACTCCAGATTAGCAGTAGCTGTGCAGATCCTTCTACACCAAGGCAATGTGGAGGCTAAGGACAGAGCATGAAACACAGAGTCCAGGATTAAATCCCACAGAGGAACCCAGAGTACGATCCCTGCCTCCACAAATGTTGGATTAAGGTGACAATTTGTAGAGAGTTGGGTTAAAAGCCCTGGAAGCTTTGGACGTCTCAAGACAGGGCCACTGACCATATGTTTCTATTTGTGCGAACAATGTTTTATGGAAATAAAATATACACCAGCTAATATACTGACAGCTATTGATTAATTAACCGTGTTTCTGATCAGAAAAGTGAAATAAAAAAGGCCTCATGTCTTTGTTTTATTTGTATATATATATGTATATATGCTGCGGCTCTACAGATAATGTGTTTTGTAATTTGCCATCACTTCAAAAAGGCTTTTGCAATCAGTGACCCAGTAAGTGGCACAGTGATTCATTACAGTGGCATGCCATTGGGATTTAAAGAGGACTGAAATGCCCTATAATGGAGAGTTCAAAGTGGTACCAGGCAGGCGGGCGACTGCAACAAATAGTGCTGGGAGACCGCAGCATCAACATTAACAACACCACTGCATGTGTTGGTTAGCAGGCACTTCCTCCTGGGAAGCTCTGGTTACAACATGTATTTCTCTGCTGGTGGTGGTGATGCAACATTCAGCCATCACGACATCACACACACACTGTCTGTGTGTGTGTGTGTGTTTAGACCCATACGCTGTTCAAAGACAGATTACAGATTATAAAATAGAAAATATTTTCCCAGCTATAATACTTTCCCATAGCAGAGTACAGTGAAGTAAGCTCCAGTCCTGTGGGAGAACACAGGACTGAGAGCCGTAGTTTGACAACAGTGAACGAGCAGTGTCATCATGTGCAAAGTAAAACGGTGGGAACAGGAGAACCCAAATGAAACAACCGGTCCCCGGGTGTGAGATGTCAACATTTTCATTAGCAGCACTGAAGAAGGGAACAGAAAAGCTACGCTAACGCCTGCAGGCTAATTACAGTCGGAGCAATTAGTAAATCAGACTTGTGATTAAAGAAAAGTCTGAGGATTATTAACATCACACGTCTGTTTTCTGACTGATGACAATAAATACTGTGGAGTACTGGAGAATACTGCAGAACTTATGACAATTTAAATTTTAGTGTTTTTTGGCAAAGGTGTCTCTACAGCAGAAGAATATTTTTGAAATCAGTTGGTGTAGATGACTCTGTACTCCGTACAGTAGTACTGCTTTGGTATCAATATTGTGTGTGTGTGTGTCTGTGTGTGTGTGAGTGCGTTAATGGTTTGCTTGTCTAAAATGTTAGCTTGATCTTTACATAAAACTTTTCCTCCAAATTTTATGTGAAGATCCTCAAAGCCCAGCTTTAACCACTGGCGTGATTCCTACGATGAAAGGGATTAGATTAGGATTAGCTGTGTCAGCACATATTTAAATGTCAATTTAAACTTTACTGTCTCAGATTAATGCTTGCCCTTGCCAGTGTAGAATAAAAGATTAGAGACCAGAAGGCAAGGCAACTGTACCAGTTTACCAAAGTTATCTTTAATACAGTACATGTAATACATGTCATGACATTTGAATTTAAAATATTTATTATTTATTGTTGCTGAATGATAAAAATGCAATCTAATCATTCAGAATTAGTCATGATTGTCTTTCTCTCTCTCTCTCTCAAAAACATATATACAGTATGTATGTGTATATATGGGTATGTGTACATGTATACATATGCAGTATATATGTTTATGTGTGTGCGAGCATGTCTGTATAGAATTAGATCAGGCGTGTCAAACATATGGCCCACAGGCCAAAAAATGGGCCAGTTAGGGTGTTCAATCTGGCCCTATGATAGATTTTTACAAAATACACACGATCCTTCACGTTTAACATATTTTTCGCAAAATTATTATTATTTAATTAAATATGAATAAGTAATAATAATTATCTAATAAACTTCTTTGCATGAAAACAAAAGGGGTAAAACATGGACTTACTGTAATTTCTCATTTATTACAGTGTGATTGTACTAGTTCGGCCCACTTGACGTCTAATCAGGTGGTAATCCTTGAACCAAAATAACTTTGACAGCCCTGATGTAGATAATCATCGCTCTGGCAGGTTTTACTCTTAACACCTATTTCTTCTTCTGCTGTCTCACAAACTGCATTCTCATGTCACATGAAGACTTAATTGTTTTTGCCATGATTTCAAAGAATCTGAGGAGAATTCCTGAGTCACCGTCCTGTCAGGACTGGGCCCACACAGGAGATGAAATCGCTGTGAATGAATGACTTACAGTAGTTTCCTCGGGGGAAGAGCAAAACATGCTCAAATTAGTCAGCGTGACTGACGTCTTGGCAGCTCACAAAGGCTTTTCACTGACACTGTACGGCGACATTTCCATTTCACTGAGGTTACGGCTCGTCCTGTTGTCTGCGCCGGCTCTCTGGAGTTAAGTACACATCTGGGCTTTAAACAACAGTCGCCTGTTGTATGATGTGTTATTTTCTTTCGCTTTTATTCAGCGGTGTCTGCCAAGTAGATGTGCGAAGCTGCTTGATGTCCGTGGCTGCCAGGTGCCTATTTTGCTTGTCTCTCCAACCTTCAAACAACAGCAGGCTGCTTTACAACAGCCTGGAGGGATGTGCACTAACAGCTATTCCCCAGTTGGGAGCCTAGCAATTACAGCAGTCCTTCTCTATCCCTGTAATTGCGAAGGGAGTTGCTTCCTGAGCGATCAGACAGTTAGCAGTGCCACCAGAGAGACGGGCTCCGTCATCTGTTGCGGGCCCAGGTAAATAGTTGGCTGTTTTTCTGGGGACTTGAATAAAGGTGGATTATTAGTAGTAATGCAATAACCTTTGCTCAAGTGGATGCAACTGGTTGCATGAGGCGAGTGCAGGGATAACTTGCAGCATCTTGATAAAATATGACAAGCCATTGGCAGGAGATAATACACATTTCATGGATTATTAACCATTGTGAAAAAATGAACAAATCCTGTCCTCAGGCAGATAATCATTGGGACAGAAATGTTGCTGCTGCTGCTGCTGCTGCTGCTTCAGGTCTCAGTTGGAAAAAAAGAGAGGAAAAAAAATACTTCATAGCAATGTTTATAATGTGTAGGAAAAAGTACCTCGTAACTTGACCCTACTTCATATTGTGGTGCACGTAGTGTTCAGTGTCACCCAGGGACATAAAGGAATGCTTGTGTTTTTTTTTTTTTATAATACGACACTGGTCCACCGCGTCAGACACCCGACACCCTTGTTGTTTGTGGGGGCCATGGCAACGAAACCCACCCTTACCTGTGGCGGCAGGAGGCTGAGAAAGCAGATTGTAGTTAAGCAGACTGCGCTAATTGGTGCGCTAATGTAAAAGATGGTGAAATACAGTCAGCATGAAACCCCCGCCTGCAGGGATTCACAGATCCAGGTGTAATTTGGCAGCCTTTGAAACATGGCACAGGTTCAGTATGTTCAGTGAGTTAATACTTTCAAGTTCAAGATACAGTCAAACAAGGCAACTCTGTCAACTCACATCTGCAAAAACACAGATGTAAAATGTACATAAAAATAAATGTAAAAATATAAAAAGAAAAAAAAACATGTGTTTATAGTGCCCTCTAATGTCACTATAAACTCCTACCTGCTGTTTTGTGTCACTGTACACTTTGAGTGACACATCGAGACACAAACTGTGCTCCATTTTGGTTAATAAACAACTAATGTAAACACATAACTATAACCTGTCCTTGAATGAGCTTCTGTTGATGAGAGATTTAAATCATCATCACTTGGTCAAGAAGGTGTTTAGTTTGACAGTGACTTCTGATTAGTTTTGTTGAGTGAACCATAACTCAGTCTTAGTCCCAATGTAGTCACTTTAGCTATTTTAATTTTAGTTTGGTTTTATTAAGAGAAATCTGTACATTATTTTAGTCTACCAAAAAACTACATTTCCTCAACTAATTCCTCATACCACATAAATTTTGTGCAATTCCCCTTTCTGATGCAACCATCCTTTTCAGTTTAGTTTTGTTTTTTTTTGTACCTAGGAACTTCAGAGAACAAAGGTTGAACTCAGCACAGTAAGATTTGATAAAGCATTTATTTCTTGCACCATTAAAAAAATGACAGAACTACACCTTTTTCAGTCTAACCTGTTTTGGATTCATGTTCGTAAAGCAACATGTACAGCATAGTAGAGCCGCTTCCACAACAGGGCCATTAAAAAAAATGACCTCTGCTGAAAAAGCTGACACGAAGGTTGAATAAAACTCAACCCCGTTTAAAACCTAAAAGTAAAGACTTGAACCAAGTGAAGGAATGTTGGTTTGAACTCAACTTAAAATGCATTGGATTTATGCAAATTGTCGTGTATCATTTACAGATCTAGTGTCAACGACTGCACAGAATCACACACACTCTGTGTGTGTGTGCTGTTTCAGTCTGACATGGGAACTGTTGCCTTGCACAAGGGCAGTGAATAATTAGACATTGTGAAGCTGGGATTTGGGGGGAAAAGGATAAGAACCATCCAAAGAACTCATCGTGACAGGAGACTCTATTGGATTCCAACCAACATTCCTTTGTAGAAGCAGTATAAATAGCGGTCGGGTCAAAACACTGCAGTGGAAATTTACCGTATATTATGAAATTAACTTGAGGTTGGCTTAAGGGTCAGACACAAAACTGCACGTGATCAATGGACCTGTGTTTTATTGCAGTGCTGCAGAGATCCAGGCGTGCCATCACTCAGGTCTAACTGACATGATTAGGAGCTATTACCGTATTGATCCACCTGGCAAGAGCCACTGGATCAGCTGTGGCCCGTATTGACCTGACTAAGTGGCTCCACAGACCTGTGAGGGTCAGGCAGATGTTAAAGGGATATTACAGATGTTGGGGAGGTTGGATCTTTATCAGTTTTCAGGTGGAGGAAAGGTCACATCTACATTAAAACATCATAGAGTGAAGCCAAAATATTGCATTTTAAAATGGTAGGGGGTTAAAACTGACCCTGCTTGAAATACCCGTAAAAAATATTGTGCTTTGAAAAAAGACTGGAAATGGAAACGAAATGAAATATTTGAAATAATCTGAAGTAAACCTGGTTAGGCAGCTTAGTGAGTCAACAATAAATTATCATAAAATAGACATCTGACTTTTTACATATCCACCAAATACTGCATATACACTAAATAACAATGTCTCCAGCATGGTTTAAAAAACACTAAAGGAACCAGCGTGAATCTGTCGTTTCAGTCTCTTATTTCAGTCCCAGCCAAAGTCATGACCAGTCATCTTGTAAAATTTACTGTTAAAGGGTTTGTAAAAGTCCCTCAGTTTCTGGACCACCTCTGGGTCAATATTAGGATGAGTCCTGCCTTTGGTTTTGCCCAGACAGTGTGGTTTGCTGTTGGCCTCGGGCCTCTTAAGGCACGGGAAGCCTTTTGCGGGGTTGAAGTGAAAATGCCTCTCCGTCACTACCCTGCGCAGCCCGAGAAAGTCCTGAACTCGAGCCATCTCCCCAGCAGGGTCGCTTATCAATCGCTCTCCACTCACAAACAGCAGCTGCTCCATAGGAAAGAACTGTAGCCAGCGCTCCAGGTGCTTGGCGTACATGCCAATTTGAACGGCGCTCCACGTGGTGTCGATCAGACCTGCTGACACGTTCTTAAAGGTCAGGCTCTCGAAGGAGGGAATGTCGGGCTTCTTGGAGCGAGTCTGGGTGTAATCTGAGATGGCTCGTGTGATGGGATCCCGCACCACCACAATCAGCTTTGTGTCTTTAGACATAGTGTATATCCGAGCAGGGACTTCCTTGGTTACATAATAGCTGGGGGTCTTCTCCATGGTCAGCTGGCCCTCCGACGACTTTGGCATCAGTTCTCTGGAAAAGACATAAAACAATGATTATTAATTAGAGCGGTACAGTTTCATATATTAGGTTCAGAGGAACATTATGCAACATGATACACCAAATCTAGTGCGTTCCATTTCTTTGGTAGCCTGGTAGTTGAGAATCCTTTTAAAATTTAACCCTGTAAGGGTGACAATTTCTTGACAGATTCTAAGCCTAAAAGTAACACGTTTATCTGCTGAAGCCACAGCCGACTGAAGATCTCTATCTCTTTTCAAATCTCAATAACCTCATATGATAAGGCATCCACACCTTTATCGTATATAGTATACAAAAGGATTCTTATATCATGTCCAGACATATGGCAGGGACGTGTGCTCTGTATCCTCGTCATATTTCCCAGCAGTTTGTGTTTGGTGGTAAGACGTGAAGTGACGGTGGATACCTTTGGAGGGAAAAAACGCAAAGCTTTGAGACTGAATATTTCCATAACTGCGTATTCTTGTTGACCCTGGACGTCTCGGCCTGATCATAACATAGCTTGTTAACTGCAGGCCTGACTGGATAATGGCTGAAGTGAGCCAAGGAGGATTAGGACTAAGCCAAACACGCTACAGCATTAGGGGCTCTGCTTCACTGTCCTGTTGGTTGGGTGGGAGACTTTGAAGAGTAGAGAGAGGGAGAGAGGAGTGTTTGGTCCGAGGATGGGTTCTCAATACAAGGGCCGTCACCCAACATTGGGTCGTGAGTCTGCAAAATGAAAACGAACAGGGGAAGAAAATGTGGAAAGAACCCAATTGTTTCCAAACAGATATTCAGTTTACCGTCGGAGAAAAGCAGACGCATTAGAACAAATTTATTTTTGAGAAGCTGATTTTCTTTTCACTTCCAAAAGAGCGTAGAGTGCAAGAAAATTAAAATAAATGTAATTACTGTCATCAACTAATTCAATAGATAATTAATTAACTAAATGTCACAGCACTAGCATCTAATTCACAACTGTGGCATGAGTTGTTTCCACTGACGGACAAAAAACATTCTGTACGTATCGACAGTTACTACTTCATCTGATTACGTTTAAAATCATAAAAACTACATTGAGGAATAATATTTTGGCTTCTCCCTCCATTCGGGAGTATTCGTCCCAGAAATATCCCCTCTGTTTTTACATGTGATGGCTGTTCCCACGCAGACCTCATACTTTATGCTCCATTTCTACCAAATATCATAATGAACACAGGATTATCCCACAGTGGTTATTGATGTTTATGTATTATTGTCTTCAGCAGATGATCCGTGACATTAAAGCGATGCCACAATTTCCTTCCATCTGTTGATGCCTGCAAAAATAGCCTCAAGATTCCTCTTCAAACACAGCAGCTTTCATCACATAAATTTGTGTGTGCAGAAATTGGTCCGACACATTTCGGAGTGCAGAGTGCCGTAGAAGAAAAGCCTTGCTGATTGCGATGAAGTAAACATCACGGATCTCGTTAATGCCACACAAACAAACAAGGTCGCTGCTAGATTTTTATAACTTTATTTCTTAGTCTTCTCAACTCTTTCCTCTTTCTCTGTATAGACTCTGCCCTTTACACATTTATGCCACTTCCCTCTCCCCACAGAGCAGGAGCCACCTTTTGCATGTAGTGGAAAAAACTCAAACTCTAATCAAGGTAATTGGTAAAGGAAACAAACAACTGTGTCACAAGCTGCTGCTGCTGTTGCTGCTGCTGCTGTTGCTGCTGTTGCAATTATCAGCTGTATCTCCTGGATACACACAACTGGGGGGCCTTCCCCGGGGCTCAAGGGACACAAAAAAAAAATTATAGTCAAATTGCTCAGCCGCCACCACCATAACCACCACTTTCCCCTGTCTGTCTCAGAGATGGGCCCGTAGTACCACTCACAGACCTACAGGTAGACGGGTGTTCAGTGAAAAGTCGTAATCATCTCGGATGACAGCCAAAAATAATGAATATCCTCGTATGTTGTGTTGTGTGTGTGTGTTATGTGTACAATTTGTCTAAACTGTCCTAACTGTCCTCTTCTGCTGGATTTGGAAAGTCACCGGCCGGCCTTAGAATCAGAAACACGCAGCTAAAATACATTTTTTAAATAATATCTAATAATAACTAATTGATAATCTGTGGAACTCAGAGGTGCTGGTATCAAATAAACTCACTGACTACATTGGTACTTGCATGTACTGGACTGTACTGTACTGTACTGTAAACATCCAGTGCCCTCTAACCCGCCCTACTAAACTCCCAGGAGGGCGTCACGGCTGGTAAGATAACAGGTAGAGTGCAGGTTGGTTAGAAGATAAAACAGGAGTGGGAGGAGCCAGGAGAGGATTAGATGGTTGGCTGTTGAGGGATGAAGACTGCAGGGATTGACCTCTCTGACCTTCGGGTCTTTGTCTAACTTTTCGTTCAGCTGCTGCACTAGATGACAGTTATACATCCATGAGCGCTCTGCAGTCTAACTCGATGTAACGGTACAGTGGTCAAGGGTGTGTCTGCGAAGCTGCCTGCTGTGGAGCAGCGGTTTATAGTCACTGCTATCGGACAGCAGGTCCAAAGGTAGGGTGTCACAACAGCTCGGTACTGCAGTCAGATGAACGTTTGAATCAGACCAGAACAGACTTCTCATATGTTACTGTTGTCTGAGAGACCCATTCTCATCTGCATCTATATTTCAGTCATTTTGAGAGACAAATTACAGGGTGTGCCAGTGCCACGTTTTACTGGATGCTTAAATATTTCATGTATAAAGTGCGTCTTTAGTATTTAATTGGCTCTAAGCGCAGCTCGACCTAAGATTCCCTCATTGTCAATAACAATTTGGTGAAGCAAAAAGTGTATCAGGTTGGAGAGTTTAATGTTGAAATAAGCAGCTAAAGGGCAACTATTAACCATCGGCACTGTTGCACAAGGACTCCTCTACCGTACTGTTGTTGAGTCATGATTTGGACTGTGATGCTCCGTACTTGTTCACCAGCTGCTCATGCCTTTGTGTAAATGTGCAGTTTTATCACGTTAGCTCACTGTTCACATTTCAGACTAGTCATAAAGAAAAGCAGGACCATCCTTTCTGGTACAATTTATATCAAATCATTTTTTTACAATTCTTTTTTTAAAGCAGAAATGCTCGGGGGGGAAGGGAGGGGGGGTGACGTCTTAATCTTAGACCACAGGCCTGTGGGAATCCTCTCCCTGCTCAGAGACAGGATGAGAGGCGGTGGTATGCAGCAGCCACTTACTATAATCAGACTGTTTTACTGGGAGACAGGTTCCAGACGGAGGTCTGCACAGATAGCAACTTTAGCCAAGGTGTTCGGGGGCCACTGCGGCCCCGTCTTATCATTAGTGTGAAAGTCAATGCCATCGTGCACTGCACTCAGGAGCTTCTTATATGATGCTTTAAAGCATTCTCTAACAACGTGCTTTCACATCCTCCGTTATTACAGTCGATGTCTGCAGAACCGAGGGTCATCCCGCTGCTGCCTGTAGAGGGGTGAGGGTGAGGGTGAGGGTGAGGGTGAGCTAGTTTCCTTCACACAGCTGTCAGTCTCGTATAAACACATCACAAACTCCAACCGTTGGTTGTTTGAAGAGTCCAACAGAGTATTTTAAATCAGGGAGGAGGTCTGTCAAAAATTTGAACCTCACGTCAGTGATTAGCAAATGTGGGACAGGAAGTCAGGAGTGTTGTGTTCCAACCGAACTACTGCACTGCACATAATCGTGCTGTTTTTGTAATGGTGATTTGAGTGAAAAGGGCAAACAAACCCCCCCAAAAAAAGGCAACACATAAATGGATAAAGTTGACAAATTTAACATAGCTAGTAGGGCTAAGTCACTGCGACTGTACAAGTCTGATGTTGCCTTGAAATTCAGTAAAGCCATGTCTGATCTGGAAGATGTTAGGTGCAACTGGCAGACAATGTATCTGTCTTTTATTTATTCATAAATGTCTCCTAACGCTCAGACAGATGCAGTCTGGGGGTCACGTCCAGTCCTTGGACCATATCTTTTGTCAAACCCACGACAGGTGGGTGGTATTTGGTAAAAGTATTGCTGTACTCTAGAGCAGCAGCCCTCACAATTTGTTCTTTTTTCTTTTATTTTGTGGACTACATAAAGGTGGAAAATGGAGGAGTTTTGTAATGGAAGGAAACATCAGAGCCTGGGTGAACCATGCAAGCACTTGACTCAGGTCTCCCAGAAGCATGTGGAGAAAAGTGTTGTGGTGAACGAAGTCCAAGGTTGAACTGTTTAGTTGTAATATTAAATGGTACATTTGGCACAACAACTGACATTGCAAATTATTAAAACAACTCCATACTTAATGTGGGTTTTTACCAGGGACAAGAGTTTTGGAAGGAATTATGAACTGACAAACACACAAAGTGTTTACACCATGCTAACGTGCTATACATGAAGAATTTTTTTTAAATGGTAAAGGCCCCTGACTAATTAATGGTGGCAGAGACATACAAATGTTCTATTTCCCATATGGTTTCTCTTCATTTGTGTTGCTGTCAGTGACAGTGATGCACTTTCGGCGTACTTGTAAAGTATTACTTTTGCATTCGAATGGCCGCATCCATTTCTTATATGGTCCACGCTCCAGACACACTAATGACACACTGAGATCCAATCTCTTATTACATTCAAAGGTGGTCTGGCCGCATTCTTTTAGCCGTGTTTCCTGAAGCTGCAGTAAAAGACCACCTACATTTCATACTACAGTCTTAAGCTAATATATATTTTTTTGTATACTGGCCTGGTCTCCATGTCTGTAATGAAAAAGAAAAATCCCACAGAGATGAGTTGATTTGGTTCGCTTGGAACCCACGGTGGAACAAACCCAGACTGTTTTAATCCAGATAGGCAAAATAAATGCTGTGCTGACGTTTCCAGTTAAAAATAACAACAAAAATGCATGCGGTATTTACAGAAAAGTACAATTTAATCAGATAAGATCTTCACTCGAGCCTTATGCAGATGCGCACTTTAAAGCCAGGATTGAAGAGTTACACCTGAGATGGTGATCAGCAGAGACACACGTTAATGTCAGGTATGAACACGGTCTGAGAGGATCAGCAAAAGCAAACAGCTCTTTGAAGAAGCCAAACAGAGATGGCTGAGACAGATAGACGCTGTCTGAAGTCGGTCTGACGTGCTGTCAGGAGGTTTCTGCGCAGCTGAAAAAAAAGACGCAGCAGAAACCAGACGTGGTCTCTGAAGACACGGCGAGAGGGAGCTGAGGACGTCAACAACTTGAGGGCAGATAATGGAGTGAACTTGGTTTGTTTCAGTGTTTTCTGAATGCTGTAATAAGTGCTGCGGTTTGACAAATTGCCTCCAGCGAAAGCCCGGGGGGTTGTTGTAGCAAATTAAATCTTCAATCTTCAGAGCGATGGGAGGGGGAGGTGAGAGAGCACATTACATGGACAACTGAGAGGACGTACTCAAGGAAAGCTGGCCTCATTTAATTCATACAGCAGACACAACAGATAAAAGTTAGATGTTTTATTTTTTTTTAAGTTCATTTTGAAGCATCATCAAGCATGTGTGATTTCTTTCATTACCCCGTCTCATTACACACCTCTGTGCTGCTGCCTTTCCCGTCAGCCTGCTGACACATTACTTTAAAGGAGAGAGAGAGAGAGATGTTTTATTAAGAGCTCTCGACACCAATTCCCATGTGTCTTTGCGAAAAAGCTAAAAGTGTTGAGTTTGCAGAACATCAACAATTGGACTCGTACGAACCCACATCTTGGGAAAGGCGTCTCCTGCGCTCGTAAAGATCTCCAGGAGTCAATTTTGGGGGCTAAAAAGCTCAAACCAAGTGTCGGAGTCTTTTCTTGGACGGGTTCCAGTGAATGCTCTTTTCTGACGAACTCCTGCTGGGTCTCGTCAAAAGGCACTTTCACCCTTCTGAACACATTTGCATACAAAGTGAAGGGAGAGAAAACATGTTTCACACTAATTGTCTCCTCTTTTATTGTCAGGGTTAATGCAGACCCCGGGGGTTCTTCAGCACCTCCTTTCATGGAGCTCCATAATACTGTTGCACTTTCTAAAGGCTCACTTTAAATTTACTGCCCTCTATCTGCCACTGGCCTGCATCTGAGTTGCCAGTGGCAGGGGAATTAGACCGTCGTCATGTCTGACACTTTCAGTAAATGGTAAGAAAGCTGCACATTTGAAGCCTCCGCAGGGAAAGACAATTGTTAATTAAGTCACATCTTCCTATTAGGACCTGGTGGGGTTTAATGTGATCTTGTGATAATTTAGCTGCTAAATTGTAGCAAATAAAAAACACAGGAGGAAGTTTGGAATTTTGCTGAGGCGGGGCTGAGGACGGGGCTGTTCCCACGGCTTTAGGGACTTGTCTGCTGCGTTCGCTGACAGAAAGTGTGCACAATTGTCTGCCCTTTTCTCCTTTTCTTTTTTTTTGCTTCTGAGCTAAAAAGTGTTGTATTGTGGCAGACGTCTTGCTGTGCAGGGGCCTCTGCTCTCTATGGGGCTCTGTCAGAATGGACACAGCAGACCTCCAGCAGGATGGACACAACAATCACCGCAGATAAATGGTGTGGCCACAGCTCAATGCCACCACAGGAACTGATAAGCCCACCCAGAGGACTGCCCCTCGCTGCCCCTCTCCTGCTCACCATGATTAGTCTGGGCCACTGAAGTGAAACATATGGTCGGATGTCTTCACCTGGTTGGCTGCATGTTTTGGCTTTCGCACACTGAGGTTAATAAATGTCAGAGGGCAGAAGACTGCGTCTGGATGAGTTTTTTTTTTTAAATATCCAGAACATCACTTGGCCTAAATGTTAATGAATGGTCAGCTTGGTGTCACGGTGCTCCACTGTATGGAATCACTGCTCTCACCCAGACCACACAGGCCAAGTTGTTTTAATTAGCTGGGTCGACGTTGCAGAAGATGAAGCTTAATTTCACTGGACGTGTTTAAAAATTAAATTCTACTTCAACAAGACCCAGCTGCCCGAGAATGAAGAGATGACAGATCACTTTTGGATGATCATCTGCATACATGGCTGTAGGATTGTACAAAAGTAATACTTCTAATGGTTTTATTGGATCACTAGCAGTGTATAGTGGTGTGTTCATCTGTAGGAAGGTTTTCCACAGCTTGCATTTTCTACTTTTTAGTAGGTGAACCTGCATGTACTGTGATTGTTTACTGGAAAAACAATATCAGGGGTGCGGCACACTTTCTACTCAGACTACGGTTTTGTCTGTCCTCCTGTATTTAAGCAGAGGACTCACTACCAGATTTGACCCAACTGACCAAGGTCTGCACTATGTAGAGACGGTCAGCATGGCTGGATAGCATGAAAGACTTTCAAAGTTTGAGACGTAGAGATGTGAATCTGCATCTGATCACACGTCAGTGTGGACTGATTTCAGATCAGATTTCTATGTTTTTCTACCCTTCAGACTGTCACATTCGCAGGAGTTTAATACATACAGTATCACATAATGAAGTGTGTGATCCGCAGTCATTTAAGTTGTCATGCAGAGCCTGTTAGAGTGAAGTTGAGTTTTTTCAATATCTGTAAAGACGTTTAAGGTGTTTAGTTGGATTCCAGGTTTAAATGTTTCATTTCGGGTACTTGTTTATCTAGTAGTCTAAATGTGTGAAAATGTGTTAAAAAAACACCTGATAACGCCCCCTGCAGGAGAGGTACAATAAGAAGCACTACAACTTGTGTTTTTTTTCTTTATATACAGTGTGTCTTAGTTTATTTTGATTTATTATCCGTTCATAATTCCCAATAACGCACGTATGTTATAATGAAAAAAAATGCATGAAATGTTCTTCTCTGGCAGTGGAAGCCATTAGTTGTGGTTTGTGGAAGGAGACGTATATGAGCATGAAAAATCATCAAAGTTGATGGTGGTGGTTGGTGGCTATAAAACCTGACCTAAAAGTCCGTACAGATAAATGGGTTAGCATGACTTTGGTCTTGTTCGCTTACAAAAAATAAGAAAATAAATAAAAAGAAAAAAGAAAATACCTCCTTTGAGATTTAAGAACAAACAGAGAACTAGCAGAGGTTTTTACTTTTTTTTTTTTCTGTCTTTGAAACACCAGGCGTCTGTGACAGGTGCATTCAGGGAACTTTGACACATTTAAAAACAAAAGAGAAGAGTACGGCTGTGGCTGTTAGCGTCTTGACCAGGAACAACTCTGCTTCCTAATGGTTGGAATACAAGCCCCTCGACGAGAAGTTGACATGTCTCAATTATACACATCTGCCATGTGTGATCTTCACGTTTTGTTTTTTGCTGCATGGCTACTCCCTCATTTAGACATCACTCATCGCTCACACGCATTCCCTGCTCATGTTTGTAAATTGCGTGTCAAAATTCCATTAGGTTTTCAAAAACACCGTTTAAAGAGTGATCATCCCATCCGGAAATTCCTAAAAGGATCTTAACGGAGAACTATTTGAATTTTTGCTTCACTTCCTCTATGGTTGCTTTATAATGGAGTCAGCTCTGAACCACTGACATTTGCTGTTAATCTGTGGCTCAAACAAACAGATGAAAAAGCAGAGACGTCTTCTAACAATGCAGCTCCGTGGATGTAAAACATCAACTTCTAATCCACTTGTACAGTAGAAATGTGGGACAGAAGAGTTGGTTTTTTTCTTCATTTATTTAAATATAATCTGTCTAAAAGGAACAGGCTGTGACTAAATAGCTGAGTTGATTGTGAAGGGCTAAGCACAAAGACGACAGCTGCCGTGACAGAAAAAAAATACAAAAAACTTCAGGAGATGCCAACGTGACACAAATAGCTGCTTCCTATTCCAAAAACTTTTATTTGAACAGAGTTTTATGCATGTTTAATTTAGTTGTTTTTCTGCCTCCATCTCTGTCAGGCAGCCAGAGGACAGCTACATTCAAGGACATTTGTGTAAAAGTTCCAGGAAAGTGGAGTGAAGGCCACGCAAACAAGCAGGAAATCAGTAATACTAGGTAAAGGAACTATGGAAAAGAGTTGCATAAAATACTAAAAAAAAACCATTTCTTTTTAATCAGGTCTTAGTTGTTGAGTAATGTCACCTGTCATACTTTAGTTTTACTTTTTAATCTTATTTAAATGGTCTCTCATCAGCATAGAGTGAATGTTCCGAAAGGAATTTTTTTACTGAGTACCATTTCTATTTTTTTGCATTATTTATTTAAATTTATTTGTATTAAGTAAGACACGTTTAAATTTATTTGTATTAAGTAAGATGCATTTAAATTTATTTTAAATTGAATTTAAATTTAAAATAAATAATGACTCTTGGTTGATGAAGCAGCTCAGATTCACCTGTAATAGTGACTAAGGTACTTTGTAAATGTTTGTAAAATATTTAAACGTTGTCTCTTTAGTTAATGTAGTACTACCATGGCGTGGTATTGCACAATCTACGTGCACCAATTTATACGTATTCAGCTTTGTTGCAGTAGTACTGACTGGAATGGTTCTTCATTAAACAGTATCATGAGTATAAACAAAAACCTTGACTATATTCTTCTGCAAGTTCCTCAGAAAGCGCTAGTACTGCAGCCGGAGCGCGTACTCGAATACACCTGAATATAGTAGGACTAATATTTGCGTAGTGTGTACTAAAAGTATATGTTTACCATCGGAGTCACAGCTATTATTTTAAACATTTCTATTTCCTTTACTGTTTATTTGTAATACCTTTACTTCATTTGTGTGTACTTTTTAGTCCTGTGAATACTTCACACTTAGTAGTATTATTCTGCCATAAACCACCTTCGTGCCATGGCTCAGTTACGCGTGGCGCATCAGTTGCGTGAGAAGTGGCGCATAGTTCTACCTGTTGTTTGACAGAACCCACGCCTGTGATATGATACTGTGTGGAATACTGTGATGTACACGGTACCTGTACCACTCCAGCCCTTTGTCGTAGTTGCGGTCGAAGAAATGCGGCTCTGCTCCCACGGCTCTGATGTCCGGATGCAGGCGCAGAAACTCCAGCAGCGCCCGGGTTCCTCCCTTCTTCACCCCGATGATGATCGCCTGTGGCAGCTTTTTACTCTCCGACTCGTTGAGGGAACCTGACAGGGAGTTATCATCCAACACCCTGGCCTCACCCCTGACCTCATCCCACTCGTCTCCTCTGCTGTCCAAGTCGTTCTCGTTATTCAGCAAGTCCCTGGGCGCTCCTAAAGAGGAGCCCTGGTTATCAACTTCTGGCTCGCCCTCGGCTTTACTCACGGAGCGGAAGGTCACGTTCGTCGCCGTCGAGCAGTAGTCCACACAGCAGTAGATCATGTAGACCCACAGGGACAGCATGATGCAGAAGACAAAGTGTCTGTTTTTCACGTGGGATGATGGCACAACATGTATGCTGTGTAAAATCGGACTATATTCCATAGGACCGCCGTGGGAAAGTTATATTCCAGTCAGCTGGCATTTTGGCGAAGGCGCCTCACTCCTGTGCCATGGCTCTGTGCTGCGCCGTCCGTGCGTAATTTCCCAAACATGAATTAGTCAACTGGGACACTAAACCTCCTCCAGCACCTCCTGGTTCACTACGACGTGTACATCAGAAAAAAATATTTAAAATAGTTTAATTTTCAACTAGAAAAAAATCACTAAACATTTATTGGCAGCATTTCTTCAGCAGCAGCAGCCAACGCAGGAACACAGTAGACTCCCATCACTTCACTCAGTGTGAGAGCGCTCACACGGCAGCTCCAGGTTTTCTACACTAAGCAACAGTGCGTGTCAAGGCTGACAGCGTGTAGGAGAGGCAATTTCCGGTTTAACCTTTCAAAATAAACAGACAGTGGCACCAGTTCAGGAAGCCGTAAAATAATGAAATCCCAACTGGCATTTTATTCACTTTACTATCAGGAAACACCAATAAAAGACATGAACTGCCACCGGAATGTAATGAGACAAATAGCCAATCATGCGACGTCAATGAAAATCCAACAAGGCTATGTCCAAATTTACAACACGTGAAATGTGAAAACCAAACAGACAGAGGTCGACTTCATCGCTTGTTTTTCTAAGCACTGTCCACGACTTACTGGAATCAACCCCAGCGGTCGAAATGCTACATTATTTACTTTGTTGCTCAGAAGTCCAAAAAAAAATCCCTTTTCAGGGTCATGTAACTGGAAGAAGATTGAGCCATTTATCAGCACTTTATGCCAGCTAGTGTTTCAAAACACATTTACAACTAGAGAAATTAGCTCTGAGTATACCAGCGTGTCTTCATCTGTGATGCAGAGCGTCTTTGTTTGGTTGAAAATGTTTTGATTCACACCTGAAGTTGTGGCTGGCAGACTCACAGTCAAACAAACGCCCTGGGACACCCGTACCACACACTGCCACGATGACACCACGTTTCTAGGACAAACATGTATTGTCTCTCCGGCAGCTACACCAGTGTTGCGTGAATAGCTGCCGATAACACGATCAGTGATTCTGTATTGAATAACAAAAGTGTAAAGCAACCAGTCCTTTCTCCCTTTTTTCACGAGCACAGAAGCACACACGCCTCGGCTAAGGTAACCTCCCGTAACAATGGAGGATTTATGGCCCGGCCGTCTCTGAATGTACGCTGTAACGTCTAACCCTAAATGAGTATCAGAGGTAGAAGAGCTCATGATGATTAAGAGATGGGAAGGGTTTTTTGTTTGTTTTTTAACAACAGTTAATATGTGGCACTTCCTGTTGTAATTTCAAATAAAAAAGACACCTGTATTTTGCGATATGGAATTAGGGTGCAGACAGACAAAATTAAAACATTTAATTGTCAACTTATACGTAGCCACGGATAGTAAGAAAGACCTAATTTGGCTAATGTTTTATACATGCGTGTGCACAGAAGAATGTTTCAATCTAATCACATCATGATGCATAATTTGGTTTCATTAACATGTACTTATTACCATTTCTGTTGTCATCCCGTTTTAGTGTTTAATTATAGTAGGCTGATTTGAGGAGAGGCAGGATTGGTCAGTCTGTGAATTCTCGACAACGCGTTCTGACTGGATGGAACAATCAGACTAGATTAGACTCATAATTACAGCAGCAAAGAACCAACAGAATGTCTGTGGAGGAAACTCTGTAAACTTACTTTCTTGATTAGAAAAATATTCAACATGTGTGTATGTGTGATCTTACATCTGTGTGATGTCAACAAATGAGTTACTCGTCCTGCAAATTGCAGCATTTCGTGTAACTGGTTTTAAATTCTTTGGTTTTTATTCTTTGATTTTTTTTTCTTTTTTGTGCACTAGCCTTTATCCTTCCCCGGCCCTCTTAGTTTGTTGTGTGTACTTTATGTACACGTAGCACTAAAAGGAGGGGCCAATGGGGGTCATTAAAAAAAAATTGGGTCACATCCCACTCACAGAGTTGTATGGAATCACTGCCAAGGTGTATTGAGTAAGTATTTGCCCAACAAGATGAATTTCTGTCTTTATATAATGTAACCATTCTCCTTTATTAGATAAACATGTTTGTTTTATAATGCTCCCATTTGCAGTGTGTGTGTGTGTGTGTGTGTGTGTGTGTGTGTGTGTGTGTGTGTGTGTTAAGAATGACTGTTGCATCATTTCTGGAATCTTGAGGAGAAGTCAGTTATGGAAATCTCATTAGTGACAGATGCACTAATCTGATCATTTGTAGTTTGTGTTCAGATTTACGCTGCAGTCATTAAAGTCAGGGATGCAACACTACACTACACTACACTACACTACACTACACTACACTACACCACACTACACTGCATCTTTGGAACATTTGTCTTCATTTCAGAAAAAAAGAACAATCTGGCCTTCTGCTGTTGTTTATGGAGACTTCATTTAAAACCTTCCTCCTCCTCCTCCTCGTCCTCGTCCTGCGTTAACTCACTTCACAGTCACTTGCCGTGGGACCGCTCACAGCCACTGCCAAAGGATGAGAACAATCCTCCAGACTGAACACATTATGAGCCATTGTTTTCTGAAACAGATGGTATTACAATCTGAGTCCATGTCCGTGGTCAGAAATGACTTGCCCTTATTTTTTATCCTATGATGGAATAAAAGTTAAGTCAAGAGGACGGGGGCAGGGGGGTCACGGTTTGTTATGGAATTATAAATATACAGTACAGCTGTGTGGAATTTACAGTCAAAATTAAAGCAAAAGATGCTAAAATCATCAAATCAAATTAATTCTGGCTGTAGCTCAGCAGGTTCTGCATTTGTTGTTCACTTGGAGGGTTGTGGGTTTACTTCCAGTCACTGTAGGTCATATGTCACAGGTAGGTGGCTGATCCTGTAGTGTAAAGTGCCTTGAGTGGTCGTCAGGACTAGATGTTTGAAATGTACTGTAGGTCAATAGTTCCCAGGCTTTATTGGCTTCTGACCCTATTTTGAATTTCCAGTGACCCCATGGGGGCTATTTAAAACAGGGAGAACCTATTGGTAGGAAGTTGTTTTTATCACAGTCGGTTAGCTGTGCCGTCTTATCTGATTTGTTTAAATCAGCTGGTTAGTTCCGTTGGTTTGGCATACTGGGGCCTATTTTTACTATTCTAAGTTTTTGTTTTGAATCAATTTCAGCTCCTAGTTGAGCTTTTTTTGTAGTTTTGTTGTTGTTTAAGTTCGTGCTAATTAAAAGATGGACACACGTTTGATGATTTCCCCCTGGTGTGAGCTGTGGTTATAAAACCAACTTCAGTGAAACACTAGTTGGCATCAGTGTGGTGAAAGCCGTGTTTTATTTACCCAAACCTGGACAGAGTAAGAGTAAAATAAAAGTTTGTGTTATTAAAACGAATGCACTCATTAATCCAGAAAGTCCTGGCAGATGTCAAACACAGAAAATAACACAAGTAATGACCGTGAAACAAATGTTTTTCTGGAGAGAGAGAATCATCTGTTACATTGGAATTCAACAGACAAACAACAGACACGTGTGAGTGTGTGTCGCGTATCAGAAGGTCCTGCGGGTCCCGGCTAATCGGCCTCGTAATCTTTTTTAATTAGCCTCGGAATCATTTTAACCGAGTCAACTTGCAGTTTTACGCAAACAAATGTTATCAGAAAATTCTAACAAACCATAAAAGTCAATTATTTACAGAGTTGCGAGGCATGTCACGATGAAGACGTGTGAGTGTTGAACTGTGAGACATCGCTAAAAGCTCTGTTTGTGTCTAATGTGTGCGTTGCGGTGCAAGGTCAAAGGCCTAGTGACCCCCTGAGCCAGCAGAGGATTAGCAGGATTAAACCAGAGCTGCCATGTCAGAGTTTCAGCAAAGAGTCGGCCTCCCCCTGCACCTAAACCCCTTATCTCCTCTTCTTCACACACTGCTATATGTGATATATATGTGTGTTTGTCTTCTTAAATCCCAACATTTTCTTTGCCCCAGTCCAACAGCACAAATAAACAGATGTAAAAAAAAGTGATGTTTGCTTCAATAACACAGGCGCTCTTTGTTTTTCTCCTACACGTTTCTTTCTGCAGCATGTCGTTGAATCGAAGCTGAATTATTGAACTTCGTTTCTGCTCAGAAACCCAAAAATGCTATCCAAGGTCGTGCAAGTCGGAGATGATTCAGCTGTTAATCACCACATCGGTGCCAGCGACTGTTCCACAGCATTTAGTTTTATAACCACAGCTCACAACGGGAGAAAAATATCTGTAAATATAACAGTAAAGGTTCTTTGGTTTTAACTACGTTTTCTTTGTTTGTTTTCTTTGTGGTCAACTCAGTCACCTTTGACCTGATTTGTGTCTTAGTATTGATGGGATTATTTTATATTCAATTGTAAAGGAAGTGTGGGGCCAGAACGAGAAACAAATCTCTGTCAACTTTCATAGCTGTCCTTTGTGCTGACATGTAGCTAATTAGCAACAGTATGTTTGTGACTGATAGATTTACATTTTTGGGGGGTAACTTATTGTAATTTCTGACCTAACTTGACATCCATATTTTCTGCGTGAGTTTTGCTGTTTTCGGTTTCCAGCTAAAGATGTTTGGCACCTGCCAGTCGTAGCATTTCCTGTGTAAACACACAGAGTAAACAAACATCCCAGCAGCAGGGACGATGCTGCAAGAGTCAAGAATAATTGTTTTTATGAAGTATTACTGGAGGACTACAGTAAATTGAATTGCTGTTGTAAGTTATTATCAAAACAAAGCTTCTCCTGGTTTTTGTTTCAGCTGCATGCTTTTCATTACTTTGTTGTTTTTCTTGAGCTTCTTTAAGGCACTGTTTGTTTCAGTTGAAATTACACAGTTATTTTCTTTTGCCTGCAAAACATCTAGGTTCTTTGGATAACGCTTAGCTACTTCTGAGCTAATTGATATGCGCCATCAATTAAACAAGAGCATCTGACCAAAATGCATTAGTCTAAGCATAGCTAATATATGCTTAACTACACCAGCTATGTGCAAATGTTTTTTAAATATAGAAATCTAGATTTGTAGACTGAATCTAATATAGCAGACGTTGAGTCGGATACAGCAAATCACTATGCCAGAAATATGCCATCAACCACATTTTTGAAATTCACTTCTTCAGCTTAAAATAGTTGAGAACACAGTAAAGTGTAAAGAAGGTGCACAGCCTGTGTATTTTTCTATGCATAAATCTGCGTTCAAGTGCACGCTCTAATTGCAATTCAAGCCAACGGTAAAAAGTCGGAGACGCAATCAAAGACCTAAATAACGTTAACGTCACTGCTGGAGCAACCTCCAGATGTCAGGGATCGGAGCCCATTAGAGGGTAAAGTAAAGTGGCCTGATGGATGATCTCATCTGCTGCTTTATCCTGGAAAGAACAAACAGAACCTAAATAACAGCGGGAGCAGCCGAGCTGGTGTGGAGGAAAAGCCCTTGGTCTGATGACAGGGTTATTAGGTGAGCTGAGAGGCTGATCACGACACTTCCCTAACCTTCTAAGTCCTCCTTCAAGGCCCTTCAGCTGCAGCTAAGGCTCTTTAAAATATCTATAAATTCTCTGCAGCCTCGGCCAGAGTGCATCTTATCTGAGTTTAAGCATAACTTTACAGTGTGAGGAGATTTGGTGCCTTGATCCTGCAGGAGAGGCCTTATCCCTGGCCGGTGTCCTGTCGTGGCAGGTCACAGAGCTCACGCAGCCTCACACCGTCTGTCTGTTCCTGGGCCAGGTTTGTGCATGGCCTGCAGTAAACGTCTGTCTGTGGATTTTCTGTATTAACAGAGAAAAGAATAAAAAAAGACACATGACGTTTCCTAGTAATGAATGGGCATTTTATAAAAGGAAGAAACTGGCATTGGTTGAGTCCTCTCCTCCAACTGCTGATGGCCGCGCTGATGTGGTTCATCTCTGCAGTTTGAAAAATATGAATCCAATTAAACCAGACAGATCTCTCCATACACATGTAATAGAAATCATTTTAGGAATGACCTCATTCTGACATGTTTATTCCATCTTTTTTACCATATATGGGCGTTTCTTTAGATACAGCCCATAATAATTCCGTTCAGCTTTAAAGTTTCCGACTAGCAATTTTTAAAACGTTTTATAAGTGTATGTATAAATTTTTATATATATATATAAAACTATATATATATATATAAGCCAAAGGAGCCCGCCCCCCACTTTGAGAAACACTATTTCACTTCACAATTATGGCTGCTATATATATTATATATTTTTTATAGCTCAATTGGATTAATTTCTTTTAATGTGTTTTTCTTAGCATTTCTCTTTTTCAGTTTTTGCCTATTTCAACTGACTAGAGTATTTGTATTCTCTGTTCTAACTTCTGGTTATCTTGGACAACCTCTGGACAAACTTGAACCTTAAGCAATTAATTTACTCTCAATAAGAAATGACATCATCTCTTGTTTTTAGTAGAAATGTTAAGTCACCTACAGTGAGGTTAAAACAGATTACTCACAGCCTGCTGTAGCACAGAGCGTTTTGCTGAGTTCTCTGACTAAAATGCATGAGAATATTATTAAAAGTATTTGTTCAAATCTGGGTGGCTTTGATTTAATGAAATTGCGTTCACAGTTCATTGTTGTGCACAAAATGAATTTGTTAAAATGGAGTGTATTTGTAGGCTGTTTAATTGTATCCAGACAAATCACAGGAGGTCTGGGGCTTAACTGAGTTTCATTATTATCAAATCAGGTCGGCCCTTAAAAACCAAAGTTTGGACAAGCCTGACTAGGAAGAAAATTAGATTTCACAGCCTTCACTTGAACAATTCCTTTTTTATTTTTTATTCCAATTTGGAACAGCTTCTTTTATCCTATTTTGATTCATCCTAAAATATATTTCTTTAAATCAATACATCTTGACTTCCCATGTGATCATTACCAAAAACGGAGCTCATGCCAGCATCAAAACACGACATGTTGAATGCTCCAAAGGTCAGTGAGAACATTCACTGGCAGAGCGAGCAACTAGATACAGTCCATCAAGTCTGAGGTTGGAGGGCCCGGCGTCCCTCAGGGGGTATAACCTGGATGGAAATGTAGCCTATTATTCACACTGAGAACAGGTGCTTTCAACAAAGGAGTCCACATCATTATGCTCCTATGGGAGACGAAGGAAAATATCAAGGTCCTGCAATTTTACGCTGTGTCCTTTGGAAAGTAAAGCAGATCAAATGGTAGTGATGCAAGTTAAACCACTGGAGCAGTTTATGGAATAAAGATGGGGACAAACAGGGGAAGAATATATTTTATAAAGCTGAAATAAAGACGTTCTCCTATCCACACGAAGCCTGACGGTTAAAGTCTGTGTCACAATGAATATATACAGAATGAATAGTACTTCAAAACAATAAAAAAAAATACTTTCACTACTGGGGGTAGATGTAGTCCTGTAGGTTGTCCAGTTGGCTTACGATCAGAGAGTTGTGGGATCAATTCCAGTCTTGGTAGTTTATATGAGTCATCAGTAGGACTAGAAAAGTACAAGCAGCCAGAACCAGAAGCTGTAATTCCTCTCTGTCCGTCCGTCTGTCCGTCTGTCCGTCTGTCTGTCTGTCCGTCTGTCTGTCCGTCTGTCCATCCATCCATGTTGATGTACTGTATGGATGACATCTGTCAAACTCTATTGTGTATTTATAGAGTTCATACTCATGTTTACCGGATTGGTTAGGGTTGAAGCTGTGTGTGTGTGTGTGTGTGTGTGTGTGTGTGTGTGCGTGTGTGTGTGTGTGTGTAGGTGGAGGCCCACAAACGACACATGACACTTCAGGTTTGGCCCATTTCTGCTTCCCTGTGCTTTTCTCTCAACATTCCTGACATGCTCCTCGTCTGACTCCTCTTTCATCTCCAGATTACAGGTACTTCTAAATCTCTCTTTCATAATCAGATACACCAAGCATCTCTTGTGAGAAGTTAGAAGAGCGGGGCGAAGAACATTATCACAAAAGGCTCATCACACAGGGTGACCTACGCCGACTTTCTGCCTTTTACCACCCATGGTGTTGATCAAACCCTGCTCCCTCTTTCTCTCCGTAGACTACGTCAAAGTCCTTGGCTCCTGTCAGCCAGGAGTTGGATCCTTTGATCTGGATTGAGATGACAAGGTTGTGTGAAAACGGAGGAGCAGACCTTCTCTGTCACTACCAGGGAAAAACAGTCAACGGCAGTCCTTCAGTTCACCTGTACAGCTGCACAAGAACCCGAGGCGTCCGGTTCTTGTGTTCTGACCTTGGTGAGTACGTGAATGTCAAGGTGATGGTCGCTGTAGAATGATTTCATAAAGCAAGAACTACAGGGTTATGACAGCTGAGTGTACATAGGAGCAGAACCAAATACAGAGCCCTGAGGTACTCCAGTACCAGTATCACACACACAGGTTTAAATCTTTTTTCTGGTCCTGACCCAGTTTTTTAACTTTTTCTTTTTTTAAATCAATGGACCGATCCATGAAAATGGATGAAATAAAAAAAATAAATATTTTAATTAATAGAGAAAATATATATTTAGGCTAATATACAAAAACGTTTCATGCTAATTAAAGAATGCATGTAAATGTACAAACATTTATTATTAATTCAAACATTTTTTTTTACAAAGGTGGTTTAAATGTAAGATCTGAAGAACTTAAACTCCACACCACTGACACTATTCAAATGACTTTTACTGCACCAGTACTGTACCTGTCAGCAGGAGGTGGAATAATGGACAGAAATCTCCATTGAGAACATTATTAGACATATTTTCAAGTGCAGTTAAATCACCTGCCAAAAGCCCTGACAACATGGAACTTGACTGATAGCGCTCTCTTATTTGTCTCATTCCAATAGTCTTGCTCATGACAATATAACTGCTTAGATAAATATATTGCAGAGCGCCACTGACTGTGTGTTTCTTGGCAGCACCTCAACCAATAAGCACAGCAATATAAACTTCCTGTGACCCCTCAAAACAAGTGGGGTATTTTCTTTTCTGTACCTTCAAGAGTGGCCTAATTATCACAGTACAATGAATGCAGTAATTACGCAGATATGTATGTGTGCAGTAGGTTGGCACTTAACCTGACAAATAGTCTACCCTGTGTTCAGCAAATGATCCTTGAAAGCGAAGCGCAGAGCTGCAGTCACACAACAAACTGAAGACATTCCCGTGCACTATTTGTCTCTTGACTCTTGACTCATTAGAAACTAATTTAGTCTTTCTTTTTTTTTAGATTTCCACTTGTACTTCCAGTGGGCTGCGCCGTTGTCATGCCCACTGAGTTTGTTTTCTGTGGAGAGCCAGCTGAAATGAGGTAAAGCTGGTCTGTGGGCAAGAAGTCAAGCCCCCGAGGAAGAGACAAGACAAACATGATAAGAGGCTGTTGGTGAAATTACAGACTGCAGGCAGCCCTTAATGGAGTTCAACGCAGGGTTGAGGGAAGTGAGGTCAGTCAGTCGTCGAAGACTTCTTCTACTGACACCGATGCTTCCTACATTCCTGAACACCGATGTCGACGGCCAATGATTTTACAACCTCTGCACGGCGGACAGATTCAACTTCATTGTGCTCCGTCCACAGATCATTCATTTTAATGATGATGTACTGATGACGATAACAAAGCACAATGAAATCAGTCCGCGCCAATACAAACACAGAGTCAAAGACTGTGAACCCTGCGTACTGGGCTAACCGCGCTCATTAGCATTAAATAAACACAACTCTGTGCTGGAAACCTGTTTAGTGTATGCATATTTCACAGGGGCCGAGACACTTCATCGGACATTCAACCCGCATACGGTAACGATAAGATCAAGGCAGAGCAAAACCAAACCACACGAACCTCTTATATATTACATCGTGTCCTAAAAGCCGGAAGACTCGGGGCTTTAAACCTTTCTCAGGTTTGATTTATGGATCATTCAGACCTCACTTTGGTTCAAATCTGCAGAAGTTTCAGGATAAAACAGATTCAACGTACATCTCTCTAATTCTAACCAACTGTAACGTCGTAGTGTTTATGCGTCTAATGCACCTTTTTTTCTATATGCAATCAACTGTAAGTTCCCACTTATAAATCTTTCCATTCCCGGTGGCCGCCGGCCCACAGGGGCGTCGGCTTGTCCGTCAGGTTCCTCACCTCACGTCATAAATTGTGTGCCATCTGAGCTCAATCCGTCCTCCGTGTCCATGAAGCGCCAAGGCTAGCTCAAGGCCTCGGTAGCCACAAGTGGTCTGGTATAAAAATGCAGTGTGGATGTGCTGTTTGTGCATGTGTGAATGTTCAGCAGCAAATTTTAATTTTCACATTTCTGCACAGCAGATGTTTCAGCATCACCTGACACGAACACACCTGATGTAGTGATAAAAAAGAAAAACAGTGACGAGAACAGGAACAGGGTTTCGGTTCTTCTTGTTAAATTGTCCTAGTGGTGTTATACTACACAGTATTTGTCAGTGGCAAACTGACGGCCTGACCTTTGTCACTAGATGATTAACCTCAATCAATCATGATTAATCACGGTAAATTAGAATTGTAATTAATGAAGCTCCCCTGTTACTAATCTGATTTTTTTTAAATATTTTTTATTATAGCCATAAGTTGGTTTCATAGTTTTTACTATTATAATATTTATAAGATGATAATTTAGGTTTTATTTTAGTTTTTTTTTTTTTTTTTTAGTTTTTTTAATGTGTTTAAACCAACCGTCGTTGCAACTCTCAGATCTTTCTTCAAACATTTACCCTGAATGATATTATCCTGCATGTGTATACATGCACTGTCTTTGAGTACACGTACACACCACAGTGGCAGTTCACCACTCCACAATAAACACCTATGAATTGGTCTTTTTTTTAAAAACAGTAGCGGAGGCTGAATGCCAAGAATCTGGTATCATCTTAAGGCCGACTGCGTCATTAACTCTGCCTCAGGTTAAAACCTGTCACCTCTGTGAAGCGCTTCATCTTTATTGGCTAAACAGTGAAATAAAAACACAGTAATGTTGGTGAAGTGCACATGGAACTGACACTCAGGACATGAGCTGTACATAATGAAGAGTTTGTCGATGATGGATGCTACAGTCATAGCACTGACATCACATCCATCTGGCAGTCTTAATGCAGTGATGTGGGGAAAAATGCACTATAGCAAATTCTCATATGAAATTGCTGATAAGAATTGTCTTAGGAAGAAAACCTGAAAAGAAATAAACAATAATAATTGTATCGTTTTACTGCCAGAACTTGTTTAAATGAAGTCAAATCAAAACCAAAAGAAAAAAATATATAAAGCAGAAATACAAAAAATCTGATTTAGTTGTAATAGAAAAATAATTGAGAAAAGAGAACCAAACATAGAATAGCATAGAAAATGGCAGAAGTGAATTAAAGGGAAAATATTTTTTAAATGAATTAAACTTACATTAGGCTGTTTTTAAAGTCAAAATACCTACACAGTTATTATAAATTTGCCTTTAGATAATGACAATTAGAAATTAAATTAGCTAAAGGTTAGCATAAACACAAAAGAAAAATGATTCTCAGCAGACGTTATCTTCAAATCATCTCAAATGTTTTAGAACTCTTTCATCTCCATTTTTATCCTACAGTGAGTGGTTGGATATTTTCGCGAGCTTTGATGGTCGACAACTGTGTGTTTCATATCAGTAGAAGTAAAGTTGACGGTGGTTTTGGGTGAACGTCAGTAACACAGTGATGTTAGTGTTTATCTGTGCTGAGTCTTGTGGTGGAAAGATGACCAATCCCAGCCTTTAACAAAACTATCATGCAGTGAATTCATACAGTATCAAAGCTTAGATTTTTCTCCTGTTTATCTTTTTTTTTAAGTCCAACTGAATGGTTTTGATCTCCATCTTTCTTCCAGTAACCTAATTACCCTCTGGTTATACACAGTGATTTCTAAAGTAACAATTATCATCTCCAACGGTGTTTTAGCAGTCGAGCTAAGTGATGAGAGGTGTTGTGTGAAAAATAACACCCCCGGAGATGGTACATAACCACCATCTTCTCAGTTGTCCCAGGGTCCACACCTTCCCGTATAAATAGAACGTGTTGACCTGTCATGATGCTGGGGCAACTTTGATTTTACTCAGTAAAAGTATTTCCTAATGTTTGGATAAAGGATGGTGAGAGGCAGGGAAACAATTCACTCTGAATCTTTTCAAGGACAGTGGAGGGAAAAGGAAAAAAAAAACAGAAAAACTCATGTGAAATGTTCAGTGTCTCCAACGTGAACTCTCTCCCAAACAAAACAGTAAAAGCTCTCTGCTTAAGTTTCTCATGTCTCCACTTGTAAAACCTCCTCCCGACCAAAGTCATAAAATACAGTATCTGTGCCCCCGTTCTAACCTTTTTATTTAGTTCTCTTTTTTCCCTCGTGAGTAAACTATCGTCTTATATAAACAAACAAAGCATATGTGAGGAAGGTTGATGTAAAAACCTCTACAGATGTTTAAATGAAGCCTGAACATTTGGACTTTTGGGTCTGGAGTCCAAGAGCTGGAGCAGACAGACATTTGTTGCGACTCCCGCTCACAAACACACTAATGAACAGAAAGCCCGGGTATTTTGTTTTGTTCTGTTTTGTTTGTCAGAAGTGGACAAATGTTTTTTATCGTATATTTAAGAAGGAAGTTTTTCCAGGACCTTTTGTGTAGTTAGACTTTTAACTAAATTTGACTGGAAATTACATTGTTGAATCGAGGAGTATTTGAATGTACAAAACAATAGGGTAGAAGTTAGTAAAAACATATAAAGTATAAAATACTAAGCCAAAACTTCAATAATTAAGAAATAGTGTAAAATGAGCCAGCTTAGAAATGCTCATTAGGTTAGGTTCATTAAGAATGTTCTAGAATAATTACATTACTAAGATTAAAGATAATGACAACTTAGCCTAGAAATATTTGTTATGGCTAAAAGTTCCACATTATTTTATTTGTGATTTCCTGCGGACCAAATATTTATAAATGGCTGATTTAAACCGTGTCCTTGAACCCGTTCCAGTGAATCACTTCAGTTTCTGCTGCAGTCCTGCGGTAGCCAACGCTCCTACAGGATGTTTAGAAACTGCATCTCCTGTTTGTTGTTTGTGTATTCCTGGTTGCTTGGTGGCTGATGAACCCTCGCTGCTCAGTGCCTTGCTCTCGACTCGACAAACCCCAGGCCTACGGAGCGGCAGGGCAGTATTTAAGTGTCTAAATGGTGTTTGTGATAACCATCATTTTCTGCCATCTGATGCATGTTTAAACAGCCCCTGCAGTTCAGACCTGTAATGCCCCCCCTGCCCCACCTCAGAAGTCACAGCGTTTTCATTGAGAGGCTGCGCTGGGTTTGAGCTGGTGTTCATTACAGCCTAAAGACAACCCTTAAAAGACACAACACAAAGTCTGGCCACGGAGCACAGACTCACCTGAAAAGCCTTAATGCCTATGGAGAGCTCTGCAGCTCCACACCCAGTCTTCAAACGACAGGGACGGTCACTACAAAGACACACTTAACTCTCTGCTTTTACAAGTTAACTGAAGGGAAAGAAAAGAAAAGTCAGTGGAGCTGAGATTGGTGGAAAACTCAGAATACAAATTATTTAAAAGATTTATACTGCCGAGTTGCTCCAATATATGAGACATCTGGACTACAGACAGGTCAGTGGGTCACATTCAGTTTTAAGTATGGGAAATAGGGGTTGCATTTAGGATGGATTACTTTGTAATAAATAATAAATATGTTAAATTCACTGTGGCCCTATGTGGCTTTATCTGTCACAGTGTCATGATGTGTTTTTAATGCATTGCTGCAGATCTGGACCCCGATCATAGCAGCTCAGCTTCCACTCTATAGTATTATTGTTGTTGTTGTTGTTGTTGTTAAGCCTATTCACTCAAACCTGGTGTGTATTACATACTACAATAATAACACTTTATTTTTTGTTCCATTCTGAGATAATATTTCTCTCATCAGTTTCTGGCTGAGCTCACACTCCTCTGATGAATATGTCACACTTTGCTATAATGACAGACCAAAGGCTGGTGGGAACCCACCCCTCACACCCAGGCGGATTGATCTGAGTAATATGACGCTGCGTGTCTGAAAACAAAACACAGGCACCTTGTTCATGCCAGTCTCACCCGTCTCCCCTTTGTGGTGGAGGCATCTTTTAACCTGAGCTCATAACATGCCATTAGCTCCTTCCCTTAACGCCCTGCCCTTGTTTGCCTTAAACAACACCCACATTTAGTTTCCAGCCTGACCTCACCCATCTAATGAGTGCACAGTTTCCAAGTGTACAGGCTGCAGCGGCCAAACCACGACTCAAACCACGGGGCATCTGTCTGACCAGGTCACTGTCAAAGTGCAGCCCACACATATCAGTAGCAACAACGAGTCCTCAGGTGGAGAGGTTACGACCCGAGAGGAGGCTTCATTAGACGGACCGGGAGCCAATTAGTCCACAACTGCTGAGCACGGGGGGCTTTAGAGCGAGAGAAAGACCGCTCAGTCATGGCACACAGTGACAGGAACAGCAGGAGATCGCATGACAAACTGGTGTTCAAAAGTCCCTCTAATAGGACATTAACCTGAAGCTGCTTCACAGCATCTGAGAGACAGAACTTCAGACACGTCTCCAGTGTTGTTTGATGGTACAGTGTTGAATATGTCAGTGAAATATTCCTGCGCCTCTGCACCAGAGAGCTGGGCAGAGATCAGCGCTGAGCTCCTGCAATAGGATGTGAAGAATCATCTGTGCTGATTTAAAAGACACTCAGTTGGGGGGGGGGGGGGGGGGGGCTCAGTGTGGAGAGTTAGACTTAGAGAACCCCTGGAGATGCTTTCAGAAATGTTCTCTGCTTTAGGGGGTCATGAAGACCGTCTGGACTGGGACTGGCCACTGGCTCTGAGTGGGGACTAACGAAAACAAATGACCTGACAAGGTCAAAAGGTTGAGATCAAGGCTTGAAGATCCCCCGCCCCCTCTCAGGGGAGATTAATGAGGACAGAGAACAGCCTCCCCTCTGTATCACTTACTCCCTGAGGGCTCTGAACCCTGCAGCAGTGGTGTGCAGCCCACCTGTTGGCCGATCATGGCCCTCCGACACTGACAGGGGGCATCCTTCCTGACTGAGTGTGATGTGAGTGTGTGATGGCTGTTTCCTGTTCAGAGCAGTTCAGACCTGAACATATTGTCTTTGCATGGCACAGGAGAAAGAAATGCTAAATTAATACCTATTTGTAACCTTTGTCACCTATTCCCTACCAACCAGTGGTCTCAAACTTGTGGCCCTGGGGTTACTTTGGGCCCATGAACCCTTTGAATCTGGCCCATGATGTCAATAAGTAGCCTGCTCTTTTGAAAGAGAGAGAATTGCTAATAGTGGAAACAGAAATAAATCATATCATATTTTTAAACATAGTAACAATAGTTAAAGAGTTCTGGTAAAGGATTTTAGCAAATAAAAAAAGGATTTTCTTTGTTCTTAATATGGTGATACATAATATAAAATAATAAAATACTATGTTGGAAAAGAATAAGAAATTAATAAATAAAATGAATGAAATGAAAAGATAAACTTTTTATTTTATTAATATCCTACCATTAACCCTTTGACAGTTTTTGTTTGAAGAAATCGACAATCAAAATCTAATCTTCAACACTGAAGTGCTGCAGTTTATGTTACAATACTGCCACCTCTTGGCCCAGGTATAAAAACGCATCATGTTGAGCATCTGTTGAGACGTCGATTCTGACTGATTCTACCAGCAAAGTGCCTGGAATGCGATTACACGTTATTAGAATGTATATTTTTAATAAATATGTACATTTTGGGAAATTATTAAGTAGTAAGTGGATGAAAACAAAAAATAGATTATTTGTTGTTGTCCTTTGCATTTGAACGCAATTTTGTGTTATTATTTGTTTCTTAACTATTCCTTCTTTTTTGTCCTTTTCTTTTTTTTAAGTAGAGTAACTTATATTTCTGACCTTTTGTCTCAACATTTCTTTAAAATTGAGAAATTATAACAGCATTACAGTTGCTAAGAGTTGATAATTGTTCGTTTGGCGTAGTCGAAGCGTCCACTTACTTACGCTTTTCCTCAGTGACCACTAGGTGGCGAAAATGTCAAAAATGAAATCACCACAGAGCCTTTACAATAGAATAAAAGACCTTAATAGGCAAATATATTTCATATTTTATGTATTTATTTAATTACATACGTGAAATGTGAACCAGCTCGGCCACTTGAACTGCCAATAACGTTTTCGGAGGAGAGTCAGTGAGAATGCTGCAGCCACAGGTGGCAGGCCCTGTTCTTCCACCGTAGCCTCCACCCACAGCCAAAAGTCAAGTCATGCTCTGACAGGGACAACAACGTGAGAGGACGTCAAGCTCGATCAATTATTTCAACTTTTCATTCGTCACCCGAACTATTTGGCTGCTGTTTTGTTTTTTTGCCTCTTATGGCATCATCCAAAGAAAACAACCAGCAGGACGCACAGGAATGTCCTGTGTGTTATGACAGTCTGTCCGCCAGTGAGAGGACATTGAGCTGCGGACATGTCTTCTGCCACGACTGCCTGGTCAAGACCTTGGTCAGCATCAACGCGGACGGAAACATCAGGGACACCATAGCCTGTCCCGTCTGCCGTCATCTCACCTTCATCAAGAAACAGAAGGATGCGCCGCCGTCCTCCTCGGCAGCCACGGACCCTCGTGCGGTCCAGACTCTGGAGGTCCCCATCCCTCTGCCCGTGGATCAGCCCCAGGGCGCACGACGCACTTCCACTGACAGAGAGGTGAAGTGGATCGCGCGCTGTTTTGGGGGAATTAGTGAGCGTTTGCGCCGACAGAGGCTGATCTGCCCGGGTCAGAATGCCTCCCAGATCTTCATCATCAGCACCGAGGGCAGACCGATGTCTGAAAACGACGCGCTCAGTGTCGCGCTGGCTGTGGTTCAACCCCAGAGACGACGAAGACGCAGAATTTGCACAACAGCGCGGTGTCTGATGGCCCTGCTCTGCGCCTTCACTCTTCTGGCGCTGGTAGCTGCGACTTTGCCCTGGATTTTGTTGGCATAATCCAGGAATGTTTCTGGGTTATGACGTGCCAATCTGATTCTCGATTAATTGTCCTGCTGATCCCTGTTCTGTGCACATCGTTGTGCACGTTTTCAGTGGAAACGTACCGTTTTTATATATGTGGGAGTCCATATAGGCACAGTGGGCCAAAAGGTTGGCTGCTCATCGGTCTGTTCCATGTGGGCGTCATGCCAGTTACCGATATTTTTACAGAAAACAGGTAAAGACAGTGTTTGTCCCAGTCGGTTGTTT